CAGGGTACTTACCCCAGTACCTACAGTGTGCTCACCCCGGTACCTACAGGGTACTCACCTTGGTACCTGCAGGGTACTTACCCCAGTACCTACAGTGTGCTCACCCCGGTACCTACAGGGTACTTGCCCCAGTATCTACAGGGTGCTTGCCTCGGTACCTGCAGGGTACTCATCCCGGTACCTGCAAGGTACAGGGGCAAGTATGCATGGGGGCGGGGCCTGCTGTCTACTTCACGTTGAGCCTGGGTTTGCGCAGCAGAGAAACCTGCTGCAAGCCAAGGAGGACACCCCGCTACCCTAACAGGAACCCCGCCCCCCCATGGTGTTGATATAATAAATTAATGTCTGCGTGCTAAACGTAGGTGTTGGCACGTGACCAATTCACTGCAGCCGGGGGAGATACTAGAATGGATCCACCATCAGCCCCTCCTCCCGCACCGCGCACCAACCCGACATCATTGGGATTTTTGTATCTAAACTCTAACTTTGTATTAAATGTTAACGTGTTTGGAGCGTTGTCGTCGTACAGACCTGTGTAACCTGGACGCGTGACCCATCTCCAGGTCCAAGAGAGTTCCAGAGAGAGGCGTGCACCGCAGAGGGAGCGCACAGCTGATTGTTTCTCTCAGGGTGAGAGGGGCTGTTCCTGCTGCGTTAAAGTTTCTAAAAGATGGATATTTATATTAGGGCTGTTGTAAACTAATATTTTAGTAATCGAGTAATCTATAGATTATTATGGCAATTGATCAGAGTAATCGAAAACAAAATTTGTCAGGTTCTGCAGTAACTACTATACTCATTTTATGAGTAATGCAAATACACGTTAAAAGAACATTAATAAACAACCCATTTAATTCATCGTTTTAAAATATTTTATTGCTTAAGTTGAATTATTTTTAAACATCACATAAAAATCTAAATGCTGCAAAATAATTTTTATGGATTGGAAAACTGAATGGAATTTACAAAGTAGGATCTGGAAGGAAGGACATGATTTGTATTGAAGGTGGAGATGATCTTCTGGATCCTTCATCTTCCACCACAAACAGCAGCTGCATGTCTGTGATGATCATATTTAAAATGCTGTTTGTGAACTCAGCTGCTGCTCAACCAACATCCTGGAGCTGTTTGTACGAAGCTGTCCAACGTATGACTCTGACATTCACTGAACAGAAGAATAAAATTATTACTTGTTTGTTTGTTATTCCTTAATACATTTTCAAGTGTACTTCACTGGATATTATAAAAATATGTAATATTGTTAAGTAATTACACTTTCTGATGACCTGCTGCAATCAAAGTAACATTCGTGCCAGTTGCATTTCATTTAAGCATTTTATTTATGTGTGAGGTTTGAGGATGATTTAATTAAAACCCTCTGTCACTGAATTATTTTTAACCATCACAGAAAAATCTAAATGCTGTAAATAATTTTTATGGATTGGAAACTTGAATGGAATCTTTATGTTATAAACTGAGTAAGATAGATAATGTAAAGTTTGTACATTGAGTTCTGCAGACTGTATTAGTATTTAATCTTGATTGATGAGCTATAAACAAATATGACAGAAGTAATAAATGCAGATTAATCACAGTTTTCAGCCATAAACAGCAGCAAGAAGAAAAAAAATATCCTACTAACTCATGTAGAAACGTTTACACTTGAAATATTCACCCTAAATATCTCATTTAAGTCAGGATGGAAGTTCATCAATAAATAAATGCATCAGTCTGTTGCTGCTTTGATCTTTAACTAACTTGCATCAAGTCCTGCAGAGTTTTTGTTCCTCACAACGTACAGACTCTTCCAGGAAGCCACTATGATTAGTCAGTAGATTTAACGTTAGCAGAAATATGCCTCATTTTACATTTATAACATGACAGATGATCACACATTTAGGTTCATGTATTTTTCAAAGATAGCATGATACCTGTTAGAGCTGCGGACAGTTTGATGCTACAGCGGCTGTTTTCTCTTCAGACGCTGCAACATGGACGACATGCTGTTGTGGTTACTCCAGTTCTGTTTGCACTGGAAGCATTGAGCTGTGTTGTCTTTTCTGTTTAGTCTAAAATGTTCCCAAACTTTTGACAGTTTTTGTTGTTTTCGGGGCTCTTCTTCTAGACAGCCTCCGTTCCCTCCATAGCTGCAAACTTAGCACATAAGTGCTAGCGGAAGTGCTAGCGGAAGTGCTAGCGGAAGTGCTAGCGTTGTGTAACACAAAAACCTTCCAGCTAGACCACAGTGCTCTGAATAGTTGAACGAAGCTTCGAGGCAGATACATTTGCCTCGAGGATTTTTTGTAACCGAGGTCCTCGAATGATTGGAGGAATCGTTTCAGCCATAATTTATATGTCCCAGCGGAGACGTGCGTCTCTGTTTAACTTTAAGTTTCCCTCCAAACTCACAAAGTTTTCTGTGAGAGTCACTTTCAGGTGTTCGTAGTTTATCCTAAATATCTGCTAAAATCTATTGTACATGGTGTTTTAACAACAACAAGGTGTTGTGTCTGTCTGGATGAGCTAAACTTGATTATATTTAGAAACATACTCTCTGAGATCTGACCTGTGATAAATGTCATTCAATAACTGATCAAAATACTGCAGAACAGTTTATGCTTGGCAATAGGGCTGCAACAACGAATCGATAAAATCAATAAAAATTGATGATTAAAAACGTTGGCAACGAATTTCATTATCGATTTGTTGTGTCGCGCGATTATGCATCTTTCACGGCGCTGCAGAGTCGTTTTGTTCACGGGCAGTTCATTGTCAATGCTGACTGACTGAATAAAGTTTGAAAGAAAAAAAAACTCAGCAGCGTGAGTTGAACAGAGCGAGGCAGAGCAGAGGCTGTTTTCAAAGGAAATTAAGTAAAATTTACAAATGACCAACTCAGAGAAAACTGTTCGACCCAAGTCCTCCAAAGTGTGGGAGCTCTTCACAAAGATAAAAAATGAGAAACATGCTGCTTTGAAAACTGACGACACGACACGAGAGAACCACGGAGATGAAACGTAAACATGTCGGAGTCACGAGGAGGAGGAGGAAGGAGCTGCAGCTGATACAACTCTTCATGTGTTGCAGGTGAGTCTCTACAATTTAACACATTGTTCTGTTTCAAGAGAGAAAACGTAACGTCAGTCTGTCTGAAGATGAAGCTGTTTGTTTGTTTGTTTGTTGATTAATGACGGTGATAGAGAACGTGTGTGTTACTTTTTATTTAATTTAATTGGAACAAGCAGTGTTTAAATGTGATTTATAAATAAATCTAACACAGATAATAATTTAATGAGTAAGCTTCAACTTTTAATTTGCTGGCAAAGTCTGAAGACACTGCAGGTATGGCAGGATGAATTGCATTTAAACAGGAATTAAAGTCATTTCTTACATCTACTCAAATGTGCGTAATTAAGTATTTTATGTGTGTGTGTGTGTGTGATTAATTGCTCTTTTAGCTACTTTTGCCTGAACCTAACACTGTAAGTGAAACAAGGCATTTCTTGAGTTGCTGTAAATTATGATATAATACATATTTACTCTCCTTCCAGAAAACAACAACAAACAATGACAGCTTCATGATGGACAAACATCATGGACACCACAGCAGCAGCTGTCTTCACTGAAAGATCCTTAAATGATCGTCACTGACATGAGGCCTCTGTCGATGGTTGAAGATGAAGGCTTCACTTCAATGATCCACACTTTTAATCCAGGTTACAATAATCCACACTTTTTATCCAGGTTACACTCTTCCCTCAAGGACACATTTTACAAAGTAGCCACATATTGTGCAGGTATAAAGATACATTTTTATATATTTTTGTGTACATTTATTTTTTTAAGCTATTTGTCTAACTAATTTTTTATTATTCAATATTTTACTAACAGAATAGTCAAATAGCAACCTGTTTTTTGTGTGAATTGCTATGTCAGTCAAATGTTCAATTTTGGAATAAAGGGGTGGAAATTAGAAAGTTTTTTTTTTTTCCCCCGATTCATCGATTAATCTAAAAAAATCATCGGCCGATGAATCGATTATTGAAATAATCGTTAGTTGCAGCCCTACTTGGCAAACATGGCAAGACATATGTTAACAAAATTACTGCTCTGGCTCGTGTTTTGGACTATATGGGGCATTTTAAATGCTGAGAGCAGGCCTTTTGTATACACGGAACAGTGGATTACCTACTCTCGGAATTACCTGCTGACTTTTCAACAAACCAGCACTTCTCCCCCGACCCTCCTCCACAGCTGCCCTGATATAACCCAGTCAGTAAATCAATCAGGCACCGGTTATCATGATCTGACTGTAGCGTGTTCGAACCCACGTGCAGGAAGGGAACGAGGCTCCAGTAAATAATTAAAAACAGTTTATTAATTAAGTAAACAAAACAAAATGCTGACGGGGCAGCTAACTTACTTAAAGGAGGACACGAATAGAAACAGGTCATGAAGCCTTAGGACAAGGACAATCCAGAGACCCTGACAAGACACCAAGGGGCTGAATATATACAGACACTAACAAGGTGAAATGAGTGGCACCTGCGGTGATTAGGATTGGACACAGGTGCGACAGTGCTGGAACACAGGAGGAGAAATGCTGAGGGGTG